GGGAAAGGAAAGGGAAAGGAAAGGGAAAGGAAAGGGAAAGGAAAGGGAAAGGAAAGGGAAAGGAAAGGGAAAGGAAAGGGAAAGGAAAGGGAAAGGAAAGGAGGTCATGAATATTGGGCTGTTTCAGAAAACACAGAAAATGATCACCACCTAAGCCCTTTCAGGCATATCACTACCATGAGGCTAGGACAGAGGTCCCCTCCCAGACTCACAAAGAATGTGTGAGAAGGTCCTGGCTCCTTCTTGTTCTCACCCTTGCTCTCCCTTCCCCCTCAACCCCAATCCCAATAAGCAGGTGGGAGTTGCATGGATCAGGTGTTCTAGGCCTGGGCACCTGCCTGGGGCAGGAGCAAGGGAATCTCCAGCACCTACCCGTTCTTCTTGGGCAGATAGGCCTCCATGTCAAAGAAGACATTCTGCCGTTCCTTGATGTTGGTAGCAATCTGCTGAATAAGCTCTGCCTCCTCCCGACTGGCATGGCACTTGTACCTGTGGTGAGAGGTGTAGGCAGAGGCAGGGGCATTACTCAGATGGAAGAAGACTCCGGATGCCCTGGGTACCACCAGCCGCCTTTCTGCCCCAACACTTCTAGTAATCAGTTCTGTATCTCTACTCTCTGGGTGCGATGCTAGCTTCTGGTAGCCTTGTTACCCTGGGAAAGTCCTTGAACCTTTTTTCCTGCCTTATTTTCCATACATGAAAAATGGGAATAACATCAGGCCTGACCCATAGATAATACCTTGATGAGGATTAAAAGAGTATATACATGTAAAATAGGGGTGTCCAACACAAGGGAAGGCAGAATTTAGAGGAAAAAAATCAGAATCCTAAAAATGCCCTTTGACCCCTGGATCCAGTGATGCCTGAAGCTACTTCTGGTCCTGGTATTTTTCCACTAACATTTCCCTCCTGTGCTTAAGCTGACTTTGAGTTGGGTTTCTGTCCTACCTCTGGAGCGTGTGCTTCAGGTCCTTGAGGCGTTTCTTCTGCTTACTGATGGAACCACTGCACAGAGTCTGCAGTGCACTCAGTTCCTCCAGCTTTTGCTTGTAGATCCTGTGTGTCTCCTGAAACACAGAGGAGCCAGGTAGATCATTTTTCAGTTTGCCTCTGGTCAAGGGCCACAGATATCACAATTTGAAAGCGAAAACAATACAACTATCAAGGATATGGCTTAGAAGATTGGGAGTAGAGCCTGGCACAGTGGTTAACACCCATAATCCTAACACTTTGAGAGGCCAAGGGAGGAGGACTGCTTCAGCCAGGAGTTTGAGACCAACCTGGGCAACACAATGAGACCCCATCTCTACCAAAAATGAACAATTAGCTGCATTCGCCTATAGCTATAGCTACACAAGAGACTGAGGCAGGAAGATCACCTGAACCCAGGAATTAAAGGTTGCAGTGAACTATGATGATGTCACTACACTCCAGCCCATGCAAAAGAGTACAATCTTGTCTCAAAAAAAAAAAAAAATTGGATGGCTCGGCACCCATAGTTCAGTGGTTAGGGCTCTGGCCTCATACACTGAGGCAAGTGAGTCTGAACCCTGCCTAGGCTTGCTAAACAACAAGGACAACTGCAACAAAAAAATAGCTGAGAAAGGGCAGCACCTGTGGCTCAAAAGGGTAGGGTGCCGGCTCCATATGCCAGAGGTGGTAGATTCAAACCCTGCCCCAGCCAAAAAAAAATATATATATATAGCTGAGAGTTGTGGCAGGTGCCTATAGTCCCAGCGACTTGAGAGGCTGAGGCAAGAGAATTGCTTAAGCCAAAGAGTGTGAGGTTGCTGTGAGCTGTAACACACAGCACTCTACCAAAGGTGATATAGTGAAACTCTGTCTCAAAAAAAAAAAGCTTGGGACTGGAAATAGAGAAAGCAGCATGGCACATCACTTGTATGATAAATAACTGCTGCTTTTCCCTGCCCAGATTGTATTTCTTCTGGTAGTAACAGCAACCAAACATGCCTTTAGGCCAGGGTGCAGTGGTGCACAACTGTAATCCCAGCATTCTGGGAGGCTGAGGTGAATGGATTGCTTAAGCTTACCAGTTCAAGACCAGCCTGAGCAAGACCTCACCATTAAAAAATAGCCAGGTGTAGGACAGCGCCTGTGGCTCAGTGAGTAGGGTGCCAGCCCCATGTACCGAGGGTGGCAGGTTCAAACCCGGCCCAGCCAGACTGCAATAAAAAAATAGCCAGGTGTTGTGGCAGACGCCTGTAGTCCCAGCTATTCGGGAGGCTGAGGCAAGAGAATTGCCTAAACAAAGAGCTAGAGGTTGGCTCAGCACCTGCGGCTCAAGTGGCTAAGGCACCAGCCACATACACCTGGGGTGGCGGGTTTGAATCCAGCCCAGGCCTGCCAAACAGCAATAAGGGCTGCAACCAAAAAAAAAAAAAAAAAATAGCCAGGCATTGTGGCAGGCACCTGTGGTCCCAGGTACTTGGGAGGCTGAGGCAGGAGACTCACAGACTCGCTGACTCACTTGAGCCCAGGAGTTGGAGGCTGCTGTGAGCTGTGATGCCACGGCACTCTACCCAGGGCAAAGAAGTAAGACTCTGTCTCTAAAAAAGTAAAATAAAATAAAATATAGCCAGGTGTTGTGGCAGTGCCTATAATCCCAGTTACTTGGGAGGCTGAGTCAAGAGGATCACTTGAGCCCAAGAGTTTAAGGTTGCTGTGAGTTATGATGCCATAGCACTCTACCCAGGATGACAAAGTGAGAATCTGTCTCAAAAAATACATGCCTTTGAGCGCCACCTTTTGTCTTTGTAATCCAAATGGTTTTGATAGAACTGAAGGTTCCCATACCAATAGTAGTCATGTGACCCAAGCCTGGCCAATCAGTATTCTTCAATCCCCCAATAACTGACTGATTGAGACTATATGACTCAAGTTGGGCCAATGAAAACCAACCCTGATACTATGACTAGAATGACTGGTTTAGAGATGCCTATTTTTCCATTTGCTAATGTGGTAGAAAGTACTCCTGGAGGGCGATATCTGTAGCTCAGTGGGTAGGGCACTGGCCACATACAATGAGGCTGGCGGATTCGAACCCAGCCCAAGCCAGCTAAAATCAACAATGACAACTACAAAAAAAATAGCTGGGTGTTATTGCAGGCTCCTGTAGTCCCAGCTACTTGGGAGGCTGAGGCAAGAGAATAGCTTCAGCCCAAGAGTTTGAGGTTGCTATGGGCTATGACACCACGGCACTCTACCAAGGGCAACAGCTTGTGACTGTCTAAAAAAAAAAAAATAGTACTCCTGGGGCTTTGAGTGAGGCCAATCTGCCTATAATGAAGCCAAGCAGGAAAACAGAATTGAGAGATGGTAAGAAACAGAATCCTCATAGCATAATTTCAGCTCTAGGGTCTAACTAAGCCTGAATGTACTACCATCCAATTCTCTAGGCCGTGTGAATTAGTATATTCATTTTCCCTTAGTGTTCACTTTGAGCTTCTGACCCCGGCAAAGAAGGGATTGCTAAGTCAACTAGGAAAAGTACATGTCGTCCCTTAAAGCCCTCCTTCCTAACAGTCTCTCCAATGAACTCAATAGCTCATTCTTAGAAATGACCACCGACAGTGACAAGGCCAGGGAAATTACAAGAAACTTTGCCCCAGTGCTGGAAGAACAGAACTCAGTAACTTCTCATCATTGCTACCACAGCACACCTCCCAATAATACATAAGACCATAAGCAGGGAAACAACCCCTTACCTCAAGAGTTCTGATTATCTAAGACAAATGCCAACAATCTGGAGAAACTAACATGAGGAATGAGGATCACAACATTTAAAACAAGCCAATGAACACATTTAAAATGGCTGTTTTCTCAGCTGATGGAGAAATGTATTTAGCAGAGGGAGAGCCAAAGGGGATGGTCCAACAGTGAGCCTAAATTCCAGTACCTACCAAGTGTAGTGTCTAGACATGAAAATTAAGCTAGAAATAAGGAAAAAGTGAAGGCTGTGAAGTGAATGGATGACAATTATGAACAACATCCAAGAATGCCATGAGTGACTCACCTTGGATCCACTCACTTAGAAAATGAAATCATTAGCCTCCCTCTCCTTCCTCAGCCACCCAGAGAGGAAAATCAAGTTCTTTTCTATTTAGTGTTTTTTTTTTAGAGACAGTCTTACTTTATCATCCTCGGTAGAGTGCTGTGGCATCAAAGCTCACAGCAACCTCCAACTCCTGGGCTTACGCGATTCTCTTGCTTCAGCCTCCCAAGTAATTGGGACTACAGGCGCCTGCCATAATGCCTGGCTATTTTTGTTGTTGTTGCAGTTTGGCTGGGGCCAGGTTCGAACCTGCCACCCTTGGTATATGGGTCCAGCGCCCTACTGACTGAGCCAGAGGCACTGCTCCCTTGTGATTTCCTTAATAACATTTTCTTTTCTCTGTCTTATTTTATTGTAAGAATATGGTATATAATACATACACAAAATACACGTTAATTGACTGTTCATGTTATCAGCAAGGCTTCTGGTCAACAGCAGGCCCTGAATCTCCATGTTGTTTCATGTTCAAATGTCCAGAAGATTCGATCTTGATAGAATACAGTGCTATGACCTTACATGCCATCCAAATCCAAATTTTGCTGTCTATTTTATGGCAATTTTCTTCCAAATCCTCGATCCAATTCAGTCTCTTGCCTTAGGTTACTGCTCGTTACCCTTTGGTCTCTTTTAATCTAGAATAGTTATTCAACTTTTGTCTTTCCTGAATTGAATTTTTTTTTTTTTTTTTTTTT